TTTTCACCACCCAAGCATATAAATGATAGGATGCATCCCACCTCACCCTAACAAGGCACTCACCTGCCTGGGCCATCACCCAGCTCTCCCTGTGGTTTCTGACTGTTCCAGGTATGACCGGAACAAGCTGTCCCTGAAGGAGATCAGGAATGTGCAATATGTCTCCTGTATGAACCCCACTGCGGGCAGCTTCACCATCAACCCACGGCTTCAGGTATGGGAGGGAGCTGTGGTACCTGAGTCCTAAGTAAATACTAGCTCACCAGGGCCCACATCCCTCAATGGCAAGTAGTAACTGGTCCTTCCCCCGTCCAGCCTCTCAAAGTGGCGAATCATACGGGATGCTGATTTGCATTTCTGGGGAGACAAAGAAACTCCTAGACCCAGAGCCATGAAGCTTTTAGAGCTGGAAGGGGCCATAGAATTCATCTGATTTAGCTCATTCTTTGGAGCGGGAAAACATCAGAGAGATGAAATGACTCTCCCAAGGTCGTGGGGATATCCAGTGTCAAATCCTAGTTTGGGCTCAGATGCTCTGAGTTCAAGTTCTGTTCTAAGTTCGGGTTCAGTGTGAGAAGTGTGATCGGAATATAGAATCCAAAGGCCTCATAAGAATTCCTCGTTGCTCTACCCAGAGCCCCAAGAGGCGATCTTGACTCTGACCCCTGGCCCCTGCCTGTTCTCTCGTACAGCGCCACTTTAGCGTGCTTGTCCTCTCCTTCCCTGGGGCAGACGCCCTGGCTTCCATCTACGGCACCATCCTGACTCAGCACCTTAAGCTTGGAAACTTCCCAGAGTCTCTGCAGAAATCTAGCCCCCAGCTCATCAGTCTGGCCCTCACCTTCCACCAGAAGATCACCACCACATTCCTACCCACAGCGATCAAATTCCACTACGTTTTCAATCTCCGAGACCTCGCCAACATTTTCCAGGTGAGTCCATCTGTACAGAGACACCCTTGAAAGGCTCGCTGATAATCTGGGCCCTTCCGTTCTTGGTAAAATAACAGCACCAAACCCTTACGCAAAGGTGCCGTTCGTACAGAATCATGAACACAATCAGGTAGGTGGGGCCACGGGCTCCATGAGGAGGGACGTCAACCAGGTAGAGTTCTGTTTGCCAAAGACATGGTTTCCCAGGACACATTTCTGAGTTGGCTCCTTTGGGTTGGAGAAGGCTCAGCATCTTGAAGAAAATGCTACATACTGATTCCAGCATGCCAAGGAAGGAAAGAAAAGAAAGAAAGAGAAAAACTACTTTGCAGGCCCTGGTGGTATACCATGGTTCTTGGGAACAAAAAGAATGTCCCCCGAAATCAGGCGGGATAGATCCGCTTCCTGAAAAAGCCACATCATAGTATTCCTAAGATAGTACCTGCCAGCCTCCAGGAGGCCTCTGTTGTCAAACTCCAGCTTCCTCTCCAGGCCACAGCCATTGCAGATTCTTCTAGCTCTTTCTCCTCTGCATAGCGATGGCCTGTCTCTGCCCATTACCTTCAGTTGCTTGACCCTTCACTGTCAAAACCTCCAAAGGGCAACGCAACAAAGCCTGGTCCCCTCTTCCTCACAGGATGGGGGCTGCAACTTTCCCATCTTGGGCGAACCTATGGAGACCACTCTTTGGACACGGTCCTCCCCAAGTTGGCAGGAAGGATGCCTTTTACACCAAGCAGAGGCCACACCTGTAGGGGGCTGTCAATGCGACCGGGGAGTGAGACGTGACCCTCTGTGGTCAGCACATGTACTTGGAATTAATTACCCGGGACACTACATGTCCAGATCCTGAGAACATAGGGCCTGCGTGGTCCAGCCAGGACCTTTGGTTGTAAAAAGCAGAAATCTTCTGACCATTAGTTCAGAGGTCTGAGAACTGTGTCTGGAGTGGCTTCACCTAGAGAGACACTGAGCCTCCCCGCGTAAGGACCAGTCTCTGAGTACACACTTAAGCTACCTCAGGACAGCCCTGTGGGCCACATACCTCCTAAACACTAACTCTGCTAAAAAATGAGGAAGCAGAGACCCCCAGAGATTCTGTAGATTTTCCTAGGAGCACACAGCCAGCCAGGGAAGGGACTGGAACAAGAAGCCGGGTCTTTGGGTTCCTGGCCAGGACCTCTTTCCTGCACACCATTCTGTCCTCTTCATCCGCACTTCTGGAGAGGGGAACAAGCATAAGGTAGTTCAGGCAGCAAGAAAGACCCCACTCCAAGCCCGTAAAGCCTTCAGGTCTGTGGCTCTAAGGCCAGGACGATGGCAAAATTTGTACATGCCCACTATTATCTCTCCTCTACTGAGTATTAATTGAGAAAGACCTCTTTTATCACATACTATCTCTCTTAAATCTCACCACAGCAGCACGAGGTGAGAATGTCCCCATCTGTACTTTTCAAAGGCAAGAAAGGAGTTAATTGGGTCAAATTCACATTGCTCATAGAGCAGAGCTGAAGGGAGAAGGGCATTAGATCTGGTTGACCAGAAGCATCCAGCTCCTGCCTGGACAGACGCCTTGTCACCTGTACGCTCTGAAACGCACTCATGACAACCCTTCGGGACCCACATTATTATCCCAATTTAACGGAGGCTCAGGGAAGTTACCAGCCAGGTGACAGCACGAATGGTCACAAAGGCAGAAAAGCATAGACAACATCAGTGGAATGCGTAACAGGCGTCGGGCCATGAGGGATGGAAAGTGAGGGGAAGGAGGTGGTCATGGAGAGACAGAATTGGAAAGATCATTTGAGGCCAGAGTGGGCCCTCATAAAAAGTCTGACATTGGCCTGTAGCAATTATGGAGCACGGTCCTGGGCCTTTTACATCTATTAGCGAATAACTGAATCCTTGCAACCATCGTGCAAGGCAAAACAGTGATTATTTCCAATTTGGAAGGGACACACTGAGCCACAGACAAATCAAGTGCCTCGAGCATGATCCCATCACCGGAAGGCAGCGTCACCGACATCCAAAACTAGAACGTTCCATTACAAAATGCTCACCGCCATATTCCAGCCTTGTTTCAGTGGCGGCCAGCGTAATGTCAAGGAAGCGCCAAGGAGGGGGGTATTGGCCTGGGGGCAGCGTCTCCTGTTCCCCCTGGCCTGTTTCATTGGCTGGCTCAGGCAGGCTGAGTGGCAACCCCCGGGGCCCTGTTTGCCTGCCTGTCTGCAGCCTGCCAGCTGTCAGCCACCTGCCACCACGGTGGGAAAATACATCCCCCATTGGAGCACCTGCCTCCCTGCAACTACCCAGCCCCCGCCCTCCTCCTCCAGGGGGTAGTTTCAGGCTCCCAGCTTGACCACAGCCTCCCCTGGCTACTTGTCTAACGGCCTGATGGAAGCACCTAGGGGGTGGCTGGATGCCTGGTAGGAGCCAGGCATCACCTCCTTCCAGTGAGACCTGCAACTCAGGAATTGAGACCCTCTCTACACTTCCCTCACTCTGTCCTGACCAGGACACCATCTGAGAAAGCTCCAAGTGGCAGAAATCATCAACTGCTCCCATCTCAATGCCACACGTAACTAAGGTGGGGCAGAATTTGTGCTTGACGTGCTCATGTGGGTGAGTAGCCTACTTCACTGTAAGGGACAGTCCAGGAAGTCAGGGTGCCTGGTGGGTACTTCTCCCTGCCCTCTGCACCTCATACGGCTCATACCGAGGAGAGCAAAGGAGAAGAGAGGTCGAGATGTGTGTGGGGGTGGGGCCCAAGGGACCTAATGGAATTTCTTCCATTTTTAAAAATACACTTTTATCAGAGTACAACATATAAGTAGGAAAGCCCACAAGTCATAGGCACACAGCTTGGTTAGTTATTACAAAGCCATCACACCTCTGTAACCACAAGAAATGGATCAAGATCTTCAGATCAAGAAATAGAACATTCCCTTGGGGCACCTGGGTGGCTCAGTCAGTTAAGCGTCCGACTTCAGCTCGGGCCATGATCTCGCAGTTTGTGGGTTCACGCTCCGCATCAGGCTCTGTGCTGACAGCTCGGAGCCTGGAGCTGCTTTGGATTCTGTGTCTCCCTCTCTCTCTGTCCCTCCCTTGCTCATGCTCTGTCTCTCTCTGTTTCTCAATAATAAACATTAAAAAAAAAAAAAAGAAATAGAACATTCCCGGCATCCCTGAAACTCCTTCTCCTTTGTCCCTTCCATTTGGTTTTTCCTCCCCTCCCGGAGGTAAATACTGTTTGGATTTATAACACTGTAAGTTCTTCTGCCCTGTTTTTGGACTTTATGAAAACAGAATCATAGGGCAAATATTAATTTGTATCTTTGTTCAATAATGCCCTTATGCTTATATATACAATCATGTTATTGGTAAAAAAAAAAAAAAAATACTAGTAATAATTTCTTTCTTTCCAGTCCTTAAATCTTACAATTTCTTTTTCTTGTCCTATTGCTCTGGCTACAACCGCCAGTATGATGTTGAAGAGAAGTTGAGAGAGCTGCCTCTTGTTGCATTCCTAATTCTAGGGGGAAGAGCTTTTAAGAGTGTGTGATGCTTACGTTAGGTTTTTGTGGATGCTCTTTGCCAGATAAAGAAACTTTCTTCCTGTGTGTAGTCTAAGAGTTTTAACCATGAATGTATATTGAAACTTAAGTGGTTTTTCTGTAGCTTTTGTAATAATTATATTGATTCCTTTCTCATTGTTTCTGGAAATGTGATAAATTACATTGATTATTTTTTATTTTTTTTTAACATTTATTTATTTTTGAGACAGGGAGAGACATAGCATGAACAGGGGAGGGTCAGAGAGAGGGAGACACAGAATCTGAAACAGGCTCCAGGCTCTGAGCTGTCAGCACAGCGCCCGACGCGGGGCTCGAACTCACGGACCGCGAGATCATGACCTGAGCAGAAGCCGACCGCTTAACCGACTGAGCCACCCAGGCGCCCCTACATTGATTATTTTTGAATCTTAGCTCACCCTTGCATTCCTATAATGAGCCCAACTTAATTACTGCATGTTGAGCCTTTTATATTTTGCTGGGTTCCATTATCTATTTTTTTTAATGTTTATTTATCTTGAGAGAGAGAGAGAGAGAGAGGGAGGGAGAAAGAGAGAGAGGTAATGGCAGAAAGAAAGGGGAGAGAGAATTTCAAACAGGCTCCACGCTGTCAGTTCAGAGCCCAAGGTGGGGCTTGATCTCACGAGCCATGAGCTCTTGACCTGAGCCAAAATCAAGAGTCAGAGACTTAACCCACTGAGCCACCCAGTCACCCTCCATTTGCTATTTTTTAATATATTTTTGGCACCTCTGTTAATAAGATTGTCCTGTAATTTTCCTTTCTTCCATATCCTAAGGTTATGAAGTCCTCATAAAGTGCATTGGGAAGTGGTTTCTCCTTTCCTACTCTCTGGAAGATTTTGTAAAACACTGTAGTGAGCCTTCCTTAAATGTCAGAAGAAGTTACTGATGAAACCATCTGGAGATTTTTTATGGCCAGTCTTACGCTCTGAGTTCAACTTTTTTCGTACATATTAGACAATTCAGATTTTCTATTCATGTGTCAGTTGTGGTAAGATGTCAATGTCATCAATTTCTACCTTATTAGCATAGTCATTTATAATGTCCTGTGATTATCTTTTAGATATCTGTTGTATCTGACATTATGTCCTCTTTCTTAAAACTGATACTATTTGTGCCTTTTCTCGTTTTCTCTTTTTCTCTTTTATCGGGCTTATTAAAGAGTTATCAATTCTGCTAATCTTTTCAAAGAAACTGAAAAGTATATCAATTTTTTTTACCTTGTTTGCTGTGTCTATTTGATATCTGCTTTTATCTTATTAATAAATACTGTATAATCTCTTTCTTTAGGCTTGTGATTAGTCTTCCTTTTTCTAGCTTCTTGATGTGTCTAGTTTGATCATCAATTTTCAGCCTTTCAGCTCTTCTAAAATGTTCATTTTAAGGCTATGAATTTATCACTATTCC